GAGGAATGAAAATAAACCTCACACAAAAAAGACCAACACACACACACACTCTTTTCCGTCTCTGTCTCACAGCCACGCGATGATAACACACACACACACACCCCCAAGGATGATGAGCGAGAAGCAACGCAATGCACAGATAAAAGGAGGAAAGAAAGGTGCCGCAAAAGCGGACGAGGAAAGAGCGAAAAAAAGAATAAACGCGAATGAGAGACACACACACACACACACAAAGAAAAAGCAAGCGCAAGACAGAAGCGGGAGGAAGCAAACGGCGGGAAAAAAGGACCCGAATACACTCACATACGCATACATACATACACACACACACACACACGCCCGCACACGGGCGAATAAAGAATAATCAGAGGACAGAATGGAAGAGGAAAGAGAGAGGAAGGAGGACAGCGAGCAACCAACGGACAGCCGTACGGTAGGTCGACAAGCCCGCGCGCTCTTACCACGGTGATGATGATGAGGTCGGCACGGGGAAAAAACGAAGATGAAACAGAAAAAAAAATAAGTGCATGATGATGATGATGATGATCAACGGGATGCACAGAGAGAAAGAGACAGAGAGAGAGAGAAACAGAAGCGCAGGCGTGGGAAGGAGATGCCGCCCAGCAGATGACCGGCCGCCGGGCATGTGCAGTCACGAGGAGGAGGAGGGGAGGAGGAGGAGGAATTATCTGGGGCCCGCCACAAAACTGCCACCGCCGACGTCACACAGCCCCCTTCTTTCTTTCTTTCTTTCTTTCTTTTTGGTTCTTCCTTTTCTCCTTTTCACGCATTTACTTATTCTCCGCTGTAGTAGTTGTAATTTCCTTCACGCTGCTCTCATTCTTAATCATATCCTTGCTGTCTTCTCCTCCTGTTGCTTCTTCGTCTTACTACAGTATACAATACTGTACACTGGAGTCTTTTTTTCTGGGAGCCTGATGACCGCGTTTTCTTTTACTGTATCCTCAAAATCTCCCCTTTCAGCCCTTGATTTATTCACCCCCCTCCCCTCACTCCCTTCCAAACACTCCCCCCTCTCTCTCTGTCTGTTTCTAAGGCTTGAAAGGTTCTTCTTTTTCCCACCCCATTTAGCAATTAGATTGACATTAAGTCCCAACATTAATCTTGAAAACTTCTTCCTCATGGCCTTGACAATTATTCATGTGGAAGAAGGGTTGAGAGTGAACTTTACTTTTTTTAATGGTTTGTCCACATATTGTTATGGTATACATGTCAACTTTTTTCTGTGACAAATATTTGAAGGGACTCCAAAATGTTTAGTCAGGGAATATGGCCAGATTTATTCATGCTTTGATTGATCAGTTGTAAATTAATATTTTATTTCAGGAATATCACAGTTGAACCTCTCCAAGTCAAACTTCTAGGAACCAGGAACAAAAAGTTTACTTAGGGAGATATTGATTTTTTTGAGGTTTTGAGGGAAGGAAACAAACATTTGTGCTGTGAGGAAGAGTAAACAATTGTGGGAAATTGTAGATGAGGATATTCTGGGCATAAACTTATTTTGTTTTGAGTTTAAAGCTTGCTGAACTTGGAGGCAGGGGTTCATTTGTTAAATTAGTCTTTCACTTCAATTCAAGATGCATAAAATCATTTGTTTTATTCATTTTCTTTGTCATATTTTAAGGAAATAATAACCAAAAGGCCTCAGAAAATTTGACTTACAGAGGTTTGAGAGAAAATTACTCTGAGTTAAGGAGGTTTTCAATGCACTGTTCCTATAAGGGAATCCAGACAGGGACTCACAAAAAATTTGAGTCAGGGAGGTACAGTATTATACTCAGAAAGGTTCAACTGTATTAGAAACTTTCATGAATGAAGTTGACAAATCCCTGTTGGCAAGGCTTGGAGTAAAACTTTGAATATTTTATGAATCAGGTGTTATGAAATTTAGCCCCAGTTTAATGGGAAAAGTGCAATGGAAAATTTTACTAAATGTGACTATTGCAAAAACAACAAAAGAAGTTTTCAAGGTTTAGAACGCTTTCTTTCATGAAAAATTACCAGGGGTTTAGTGGAAAGTTATGGTAGAGATTTTGCCTTCAGCAGGTTGAAAGGTACCAGAATGAAGAACAGAACAAAGTATTCTCTCACTCTGTTAGATGAGCACTGAATTCTCAACATTGTTTGTTAGAGGTCCACAAGTCATATTTTCTGTATAACCAAATATTTTTGGAGAAAGGCTGTGATTATGTTATAAATATGCATTTTTTGAAAATGAATGAGTGTTCCAATTCATTTCTGTGAATGAAGGATTAATTAAAGTTTAAAACCTTTTCCAGAAACTTTTCAGGGGAAGAATGAAAATAAAATAACGATAGAAATAAAGACAATGTTTCAGGATCTAGCTGCTCTCTTTTGGAAATGTCAGAGATGATTTTCTAGAAAGTTTAGTAGATGTCACCTGAAAGACAGTCTTGACTATAAGTAAGCATACCTTATGAAATGTGCCTTATTCATTTTTAATATGGGTTGGATTTTTCAAATGTTTCATCAAGATACTTTAGTATTCTTTCTAGGAATCCAGGATGTTGCATATAATTAAACTTTCTCTGCAAAGTCATCAAATTAATTTCCCATGCACATTATTTGCTAATACTGTACTGTATATCACTGGTCACTCCACTGAAGCAACCCTTTCAATACAAGATAATTATTTTCAAAATGCCTCATTTTACATCCTCAAATTTTAAAAAATGTATTCCTTACACAAAACCATTGTTTTTAAATCCATTCAAATAATCCAATAACTTGTGTGGACAGCCTCATTAAATCTGTCAATGCTCTAGCACAAAGTATCCCAGCAATGAGCATTTAAATTCAAGTATCTTAGAAAACTGAAGAACCCACAAGTTCCAAATACTGAGTCCAGACATTTTTGTGAAAGAATGCCACAAGTCAAGAGGTTGGCAAAGAAGAGGATTCAGAATAACCTCACTTAACACAGTACACACAAGGGAATCACTCTAAAAGGCTCTTAATCAAATTGAAAACCATTATCTTCAAAATCAAAGTGTCTTCCATCAAAATCAAGGTGTTGCAACTGTATAAAAGAGGTGCTTGAAAAAAATGTAAATGTTTTCAATATGCATCAATAGCCATAAATCACCATTTGTAAAATGTTTCACTTCTTGTAAAGAGACAGGAAAATGGCAACACATCTTAAACAAACCAGTATCACAGACCCGAAGGTTGTAACTGCATGAGGATGAAGAAAAAACCACACAAGAACTCCTCCAGCCAACAGCCAAATAATGCCACCATACAGTCATAGCTCATGAAACAAACAAGAAGCCAACACACACACATACACCTTACCCCCCTCCCATCATTCTCCCCTCCCACCACCAGCACCAGCACTAGTAATCATCAGAGTGTGGGAGAAGGCCAGAGGTCAGCACCAGCAATTACCTGCCACTGGATTGCTATGCTATCCTTCACACAAGTCCCAAGACAGCATCTGGCTTGAGAAACTCTTGACTCCCCCCAGGGCATGATTATTTCATTTTTTTACTCTTTTGATAACCATACCTTCTCAAAGAGGACAAAAATCCATGTGGATAATAACAAAGTGTGTGTGTGTGTGCGGGGGGGGGGGGGGGGGATGAAAAGGGGGCCCAGGAGCTTCTGGAGGTCATCAGCAATTTGCCCCCCAGGCACTGATTCAAAGCTTGCATGTTCCATGCCCTGGGGGGCACAACTCCCCCACTTGTTTCTCTGAGTACTTTCAGCTCACCACAGGCATATATATCCTGAGTGGTTGTTGAGAAGAACAAGAAGCGTTTTATACTACACCTTCAAAAGCTTCTCTCCAGGATAAGAAAAAAAACTTTTAATCTTGAATGAAAAATCAAAGGTATCCCATAAAAATATTTTAAATGCAAAAGAAACATAAATCACTGACAATTCCAATCATAGTTCCATGAATCATTCATGTTTAGGAGTTCATCAAAATATTTTTGTCAATTCCATTGGGAAATAATAATTTTCATTAAATATTACAGCCAGGAAATACTATGAGCTTGAATCAAAAGTGTTTCCTTGATGAGAGTTTGAAAACTTTTATATACTGTACTGTAATGTATTTCAAAAGCGGTTTTGACATGATAGACATGATTTGACTTCTGGTACAAAAAGATTTCAAGAAATCATCAAGAAAAATAATAATTATAGAAAACATGCTACTGTACATTCTTATGCCATTTATAAATTTTCAAAATACATTTTCCAAATACTGTTCAATGTATATTTCAGCAATGATTTGGAAGTACAGTAAAATAAATTATTCCTTTTAAAGAATGAGAATGGAGTAGCTTTGAAATCCATAAGACATGCTGATTTTCAAGAAAGAAGAAAAATAAGCAGTGACAGTTGAATGAATCTAACAAAAGGGTCCAAAAGAAAAAAAAAATGAAACATGTGCTTCAAAAATAAAGCAAGAAATTCCGACAAGCTGGACTTGAGGAGAAAATTAAGACTTGTTTTTTCAAGAAAATGCAATTCAGTTCATGCTATTTTCCATTATCATGCCCTGGAAACACTGCTGAGATAAGCCTTCTCTTCTTGATCAAAAATTAATTTTAAAAAATTTATATATTTACTGCATACAAGAACAAAAAAAGATGAGTTTTGACAAGTGAAGCCTGAGGAATAAGCAACAGGCATGTTTTAATCAGGGAGCCTCCAGCAAGGCACCCCCTGGGGCACTTCCAGAAGCTCTCTCCCCAGGCCCCCAAGAATTGGAGCAGATAATAACAGCCTTGGAGCATGGAAGAAACTTGCCTCAGGGCAACTTGAGCGTGGGAAACCCTCCTGCAGAAGCCCAGCAACCAACACCTCTTCCAAGTTCTCCCCCACATCCAAGACACCTTTTTTTTCCATAACATCAACAGCAAAGAAGACAAAAGAAAACTTGTGGAAATATCATGACCATATAGACTCTCTGATATTCTCAAAGAGCATTCACAAGATGAGGATCCCTATTTTGCCAAGGTCACCACAAAAGGATCTCTTTTCTCCTCTGCAAAAGATGAAGCTTTATGAGCTCCTCCTCCCACCTCTGATACAGGGATGCCAAAAACAGACGGATAATACAACTAATCACATCCAAAAGAAAATCAGACATGTTCACCCTTGGTATGATGGTCCTTCTCTTCTTTGAAGATCATCCTCTTTCAAGGTCACACAATGGAATCTCTTCTCAAAGTAATCCTATATGCTGAGCTTATTCCTCCCACAAATCACAGGGTTGCCAGAATAACAGTAAATCACACAACATCATGAATATACATACATACATATAGGCATCAAGTATCATAAAAAACAGAGAAAATCTAATCAGATCCCTCTTCTTGAATAGCATTCACACAGGATCTCACATATCAAAAGACACCCACACAGAGAGATCCTCTCTCTATATCCATATTATCAAGGTCACTGGAGGATCTGAGCCCTATCTTCTCCTCCCACCTGTTGCAGGGTTGCCAAAAGGTTAAACCCACAGAAATAAAGGGAGGGTAGGTGGTGGGCAATATCCCAGTGGGTGACTGACTGAGTGGGTGGATGTTGAGTGACATAAATCTCACCCCTGGCTGGTGATTGGAAAGCAAGGGGGCACCCCCTGAGCCCTGCCCACCATCAAATAAGGAATAGAGACATAAAAATTTAGGGGGTGGGATGAAAGAGAGAAAAAAAAACTCACCTCTTCAACCAGAGCTCCTTGCAGCTCGCACATCACTCCATTATCACCTGCATTGAAAAGTAAGGGAAACACACAAAGACATCAGAAAAAAATGTCTGTCAAGCACCCACAGGATTTTTTTTTCTTCTTTCCATTCCACCACTGGTTTGGTCATACATATTATATTCTACAAATAACCACACACACACACACACAGAGAACACAGAAGCACAGCGCTTCGCGGCCTTGACCCGGTTCACAGAGTACGCGACGGGTACGGTAGCGCTCCTGGAGTTCGGTACGTCAGAGACACGCTCACACACACACACACTCACACAAGAGTCCGCTGTCAGTTGCGTCCGCATCCGCGCCCGGCGCCGACATGAGTGACACTGTGGAGCAGCGGGCGAACTTGAAAACGCGCGCCGGAAGGACAGAGAAAAACACATCTCGTCGTCGTCCCTTTTTTTCTTTCCTTTCTGTGGGTGTGTGTGTGTGTGTCCTGCCGTCGCTGTCTCTTTTGTAACGCTGGTCTCTTTCCTTGGCTAGTTGTGGTCCGCTCATTTACTCTCTCTCTCTCGGTATCTGAAAGGAGAAGGAGGGAATCTTGGAGGATGGATGAGACTTCTTGCTCTTTGCGGGACACTAACTCTCTTTTTCCTTGAGGTAGCTTGAGTACAGTATTGCTGCAAGTAGAGTGTTACTTTTCTACTATACTTGCTGTGTAAAAGGAAATTCCAGGAACAAGAAAAACATTTTGTCAAGAGAATTTTGTTGCAGATGAGAGCCTTTGTGCCATGGGAAGACACTCATATGGGAACCAAAATAATTTCCTCAAATAATATATTTAATTTTTGTAGAGGATGAGGTTGTTGTAGAAAGTGTCCAACTCTTACTAATAATGAGAGGTTAATAAAAAAAAACTTAGGTTTGTGGAGTATTTCCTGCTGGCTGTAAATATTTTCATTTTCTGCAGTCAAGCCTGTTTAAATTACATTTTGAGGGATAAGAAATAATTTGCTTGAGTTGGAGAACACCAGTCATTTTTTGGGGGGATGAGAAAAAAGACATGTATGAAATTGTGATTGATGACATTCTTGAATTGCTTTTTAAATGAGTTGACAGGTTGCTGAATTTGGAGGTGTTAGGTATCATTTTGTCCAAATAGTCTTTCACCTCCCTTAAAAATGCATCAAATGACATTTTCAGTTGATTTTTTCCTTCCTGTTTTCTTTTTATAATAAAATAATGGCCCCAAGGGCCTCCAGAAAATCTGAGTTGTGGAGATTTGACAGGAAAAAGCCTTCAAGTGAGGTAGATTTTTTTTGAATTACTCCTGCAGGAATTCATACAGGGACTTCAGAAAAAAATTTGACAAAGGGAAGCAATTGACTAAGAGAGGTTTGGATTATGAGGTCCAGTTGTACTTTATATTTCTCTTGTAATGAATGTAGAAGAGAAAATCTTCAAGGGATAGACACAAGTCCTTGGGATACTTTTCAAGATTTTTTTTTTGGCATGAATTGCACAAATTTTTTGTGTGTTTGTGGATGGAAAGGAAACTTTTGAGGATGAGGAGCATTGGATTGTTGTTTTTTTTTTTGGAGAACACCAGCTTTTATTTTTTGAGGCCAATGTTTGCATAAATACAGTACTGGAGGAGTATGTCACAGAAGTATTCTTATGCACTGTTTTGATTTGTGAACCACTTTTTTCCTCTCTTTCTCTGGACATTGAAGATATGCCTTTGAAATATGCGCAAAATGTTTGCAGATTTATCTAAATAATTTGCAGGAATAGTCCACTGTTTTTGTCAATGTTTGCAAGAGGATGTAGATTTAATTTCTGATGTATGAATGTGGATGAGAAATTTTCTTATTTATGGTATGAATCCTCTTGAATCCTTTGATACCACTCAAATTTTCCCAAAGGTTTTGAAGTCATCATGTACAAATTGACATTTTAGTTGGATGAAACAAAAGTATGGTATTCATTTTCATGAATTCATGGACAATAAGTTTTGCATAGTTTGGCTTTGTGCATATCACTAATGATTTGGAGGCCATGTTCAAAATTTTCAAGGGAGTTATTTGAATTGGAATTCATTTGAAGACCACTGCAGAAAAAATGGCATCCAAGATGATTGAATCTTCCTCAGTCTGTAACATTTTACATCCATACTGTGGTTGATTCTCAAACTTCTTTCAACTCATCATCTACAAATTTGCATCAAAATCTGTCACCATAATTACATAAAGAGAAAGACTGTGTATACCGCAGTACATAAAAATAGGAGGTGCAATTTATTTATTCTTTCTGAAGAAAATCGTATCACAACAAGCCCCAATGAAAAAGCTTTCTTGCAAAATAATCTTCATTTTAGGGCCCTTTCAAATAGCCACAATTTTATTTGAATCACACAACATACTTTATATAGAGAAAAATATGTACAACAACAAAAAGGTTCTTTGCAGATTTTGACACAAATGTGGCTCAAACTCCCTTCATAAGTTTGGCTAAAGTCTTGGGACAAATTATCAGCTGAATTTGAAATCTCATCACAGGGGAAGACAAAATATTGTAATACAGCTGGACATTATTTTTCCTCCATCAAATTCTGATTTTTTCATAAGATAAGTTGGGATCAATTCCCTCCACAAATTATTGCGAACACATCATGAAAATATTCCACAAGGAAAATAATTGATGCCATCTCCCAAGACATCAGACACATGGATATGTGGAAGTTAACAAGCCCTCTGTCATACAAATGACAAGTATACTACATCACAACCTCATCCTTGCATGCATATGTATGTATACAAGATACAGTATATGACTGCGTCCTTCTCCCGCGCAACTGTATTATACATACAGTATACATGCACAAAGTATGTGCATTGAGGCCGCCTGAGCAACACAAGAGGCTAATTTTAGCCTGCCAATGTACTCTAGTGTATCTCTGACTCTCTTTCACTCCCTCTCTCTCTCTCCCTTTTTTTCCTGATGGTGGTGGAATCACATATGAGTATACATATACACACACACTACATGTATACATTGAGAACAGAACATTACAGTAAAACTCTTGCCTGTCCCACAAACACTCTGGTTGAGCTTTGCATGGTACCAATTGGTACAGTATTGTACCCATCTAACTGGCATAGATGAGAAGGCGGAGTGATGATTTATTGACAAGGGCCAGTCACACATCAAACAAAAGGGATTTAAAAGTTGTGAAATCATTTTTTTCAATTTGTAACCAGGGGTTTCTTTAGTTTGATGAAGACGTGATAACTAAAATGTTCTTTATGAATTTTGGGACAAAAAATGCTTTGAAGTTCACTTTGTATTCAAAGGTTTATCATTTATGTATTAAATGAGAAAAGTTTTGTTTGTTTCTGATATCACACTGTATGACCTAGTGAACATCCCCTTTAAGAAATGCCAACTTCAGTGAGTCAAATTTCAGAAAACTACATTGAAATTTGACTTGAACCAACTTTAAGTTTTAAAATTTCGCTTCCTCTCAGCATAGGAGAATTATTGTACATCATTTTTCAGCCAAATTCTTAGAACATTCATACATATACCTAACCTGCATGGAGTTGAGTAATCCTCTGCAGAAAGCATGCAGAAAATAATTTGCCCCTATTTTCATTGAGAAATGAAAGAAGTTTGACACCAAAAGTTCTAAATTGTATTGATTTAAATGACATTGGACATTAGGAAATTGGCCAGGGATTGAAGGGAAACTAAAATTATCAAGACTTTTGAGTACAGTAGTTTCATTCAAATATGACAAAGCATGTCTCTCTCCATACGTTATTATTTCACTCTTTTCCCAATCATAAATAAAGAGCCTGAAATCAGCTGTTGATCATTACATATACAGATCAACCATTCATCATCATCATCTCATTCAATTATTATTCTATAGAGAAAGATAATCATCAAGTCATGAATTAGAACTCAGCACATCACCTCAAGCATGAATGAAATGAAGGAAGTAAGTGTGTGTTTGTGTGAGCAGGCCCTCAAAGAGGAAATGCTACCTGCCCTCCCACAGAGAACCGGTTTTGTTGTGGTGGGGGCGGGGGATGGGGGAGTCATTGCACTCCCTCCCGGCCTTGCCAAGACAAGTTCAAAGCCAGCAGCAGCTCAGTTTATTCTCTTTTCCTCCTTGTACATTATGTGTCATGTCTCTCTCTCTCTCTCTCCCTCTCTTTGCTATACTATACATATGCAGACTGTATAAGGCACCCTCCCTCTCCTGAGCAAAGCTATACAGTACAGTAATTTCATTCTTGGTTGTGTGGGACTCACAGAGATTGTGCTTCAACACTTCAATGTCCAGGCACAGCATAACCGAACTGAATTTTATGATTTTTTTAAATGCAAAATACGATGTCTCTTGATGTTTCATTTGTTAATGAAAAAATAAATTTTAAAGGGCTATAAACACATGAACTCTCTACAACAAAACTCAAGGGCTCAGAAGAAAATTAATCTTATACATAATTCTTTTGTAGAATCTCCCAGAAAACCCTTGATATGTGACCACCAGAGATTTGCTTTACAGAGAAAATCATCATCACAGAGTCCACCTTTATAACCTAAAGCTGTTACTGGACCCACACAAAAAAAAACAGGTATTATATGCAGAAAATTACAAGCATGAATTGCCTCAATGTTTTTTTCAGGACATTTTGCAAAAATATGGAACAATTCTTGGTACACAAATGGTAATCTTTACCATAGTTGACAAAAAGTGGCTCTCCAAAATTTGTCATCCTTTCTAGAATGATTGTCTTGACTTGTCAAGTAATGATAAGCTCAAAGAAATGACAAGCTCAATCATAGCTTATTCCAGTTGGAGATATGTTCTATAAAAATGTTTGCTGTGGGAAATTTTTTTGTCAAGCAAAATTAGTTTATGCATTTTCAAAAATATAATTCAATGCAGAATTCATTAAATGGTTCTGAATGCTTAAGGAAATATTTGAATGATGGAGAAACCTTCACTTTTCCTGTGCACAAAAAAAATTGTTTTGAGTCCAAAAAGATGAGCATCTAAATCTTTACCATAAAAAAGAAAAAAATTCTCAAGAAAATCTTTAAACAATACAGTATTCAAAAAAAATATAATCCCTATACATAACAGTATAGATATTAGGTATGCCATAAGATTTCATCTCCATGTTTGTACTCACGAAAAACTGCTCCTGTCATCAATTGTGGCCAGTCTGACTGTCCCAAAAACGTGAACCTATATCTTGTTCCTATAACAAGAGCCCACAGGTTCTTATTTTATTTTCTGCGTCCCTCACTCCCTTCCAAGAGGGAGGGTGGTGAGAGAAACAGAGAGATAAATAGAGAGAGAG